GATGGAACGGAAAACTGAGGGCCCGTGAATACATTTGCGTGCAAGTAAAAGATCCCTTGGCAATTGGAATGCGATATAAGAGTAAGCCATAGTGCCGCTGTCCGGGCAAAAGTTCAATCATAGCATTCTGTATGGCGTATTCCCGTCTTTTTTGGACATTATGTTATCTCTAATTAATTTTGGAGAAGGCTTAAACAGCAATAGCGCAGAACATTTATTTTGATTCAGATTTCATTAATGTTAAACAACCTTGCAATTTAAATAAGCTGATAAAAATGTGCAAGTTTCAAGAACATAATTTATTAAATTATTATTTAACATGAAATTGATTTTTTTTCTTAAAAAAAGAAAAGAGAAAAGAAAATGGCATAACAAGAGAAAAACATTTATTTAAATCCAGGTCTCTTATTATGTAACACATCTGCATTTTGAAAAACTAAAACATACATTATGCAAGAGCTAAATCTGCCTATTACAGGTCTTTCTTTAGGCCTTAAATGTTACATAAATTATTAATTAGACATTAATTAACTTATCCAGACCATAATCAACTCTCGATGGCATCGCTAGCCTGCGATGTTTATTGGATTACGTTCCGATTTCCTGTTCGACTTCCATTCATAATTTAATCATTAAGTGGATAATCGAGACTATGTTTTTTATGGTACTGACTTTAGTAATGATGATCGAGGCTAGGCCGAAAATTCAATCGCTAAAATCTCGGTTCATATTGGATCAATTTGACTGAAATTTTCAGCAAATTTCCTTTACATTATCTAGTTTTTAACTATTATAGTGAGAATTGTCAGCTATCTTTAAAATACTCTTCTAGCACTTTTCTTCTTTAGAAATTATTTAAACTGTTTAAGCGGCATTTAGTTCCCGAATAGTATAACACATGAAATACAAGAATATTAACCGCATAACAAAAAGCAGATCATTTTTCCAATTCAAATTGCAGACGTTATATAACAAATTAACATTTGAAATAATTTAAATTAATAAAGTAGATACCAACCTTCAGTGAGGAGTGACAGGTTAAAAACTGAGGCTATGGTATATGTACTTACAACATGTATACTGATATTTATCTTCTGTCGACTAACCAGTATTGATAACCCCTATATTGATGTACAATTTATCATTTCAATGGGCCATGATCGTAAATCTTCACACGCTAGCATTTTCATGATGACGTTTAATGTCGTCGCATCTGTCCGCCCGGACGCGTCAACGTCCGTTTTCGAAAACTTTGTGAATGGGATAGGGGATACAATCTTTAACATATCTTTTTGGTGTGTAGCACTGGTCATGAGAGGATGAACCCTGGCCATATTCAACGTTAGACAGCCTTCAGTTCCGAAGCTACCCCATTTTGCAGTAAACCGTTTGAACGCGATAAAACATATTTTTGCGACAGCGAATAACGACAACCACAATCATGTCACGTGACGTTTTCTTCCAATTAAAATATATTGAGTGGGATTTGAGAGAGGGAGAGAGAGAGAGATGGGGTTTAACGTCTACTCGACGCAAACTAGGTCATTTCGGGACTAACACATAGTTCAATTTCATTTCAAAAATTTGCTTGCGCGTAGGGGTTTTTAGTAGGAAACCGCAGAAACCCGCGAGGTTGGACAGGCGACCATACTCCTTGTTACGTACAACCAGGGAATCGAAACCACGCCAGTTGAGTCAATGACAGACCTTATGACACAGCGCGCACGTGCTAACCATTCGGCCATCCACCTGAGTGGGATGTGAAACTTTTCACAAATAAATTTGTTTCAATATGTTTTATTCCAAATAGGTCCTATGTCATTAAATCAAGCATTTTTTTTACCTGGGAAGGCTTCTTAAAAAATTTAAAATTCCTAATTCCAAGGGGGGGGGGGGGCTATTGGTTTAAGGCGTGCGCGTGAAACCATAAAGTCTGTCATTGAGTCAAGAGGCGTGGTTTCGATTTCCCGCTCGTGCGTGACATGGAGTAGTGTCGTCTGTCTAACCTCGTGGGTTTTCTCCTGGTCCTCTGGTTTTATCCAACAGCTAAAGACCCGTACGTACCAGCCTATTATTGAGATGAAATTGAACCATACGTCAGTCCCGGAATGACCTAGTTTATGTCGTGTGGACCTTAAAACAATTTTTCTCTCTTTTTCTTCTCCCTAATTATAAAACAATTTGAAATGAGTAATTTTCAACAATTCTTGTACACTATTTTAACTGGTCGAGTCCCTTTAAAATGAGATTTTTAAAATCTGTATACATGACATGGGGCTCATAAAAATATATATCATATCTATGGTGGTATCATGGAGTGTCTACGTGTGATGTTTTGTGAACGGGTACAAGGCGGCTCAGTGAGTAAGGCGATAGGTCGCTACCCCATAGGTCCCGTGTTCGATCCCATGTTGGCCGAAAAAGTTCATCGGGTTTTTCCGGCTTTGGATTTGTCCATGGTGCAGAGGGACTGACAAGGGACCGCGAAGAGTCGCTCGGGTGTGACGAAAAACCGAGGTCCCGTGTACACATTGGATTGCACGTAAAAGATGCCCTTAGCAACTGTAATTCCATATAAGAGTAGGCCGTAGTGCCGCTGTCCGGGCATAATTTCCCTCATAGCACACTGTATGGCGTATGCCCGTCTTCATTAGCCCAGTCGGTGCAGAATAGCCCTTCCTACGAGGTTGGACAGGCGACCCTACGCCTGGTCACATACATGCTTGGAATCGAAACCACGCCACTTGACTCAATGAAAGACCTTATGATGCAACCCGCATCATAACCTGAATAAACATGCGCAAAGCGATTTTAGAGTAATAAACTATCAAGTTAATCTAGATAAGATTGTTTTTAATTGTGATATGAAACTTGTTTGGAAAAATCTGCCATGATTACACTTGTTTCACATATAGTTCCTGTATTCTATATCCGAGAACACGAGGTTATGGTGTTTAGAGCAGAGGGGTCTGTCTTGATACAAGCTGTATTTCATCTGCTTTTGAAAGATTGCACAAGCTGGGCTGTATTTCATCTGCTTTTGAACGATTACACAAGCTGTATTTCATCTGCTTTTGACAGATTACACAAGCTGGGCTGTATGTCATCTGCTTTTAAAAGATTACACAAGCTGGGCTGTATTTCATCTGCTTTTGACAGAGTACACAAGCTGGGCTGTATTTCATCTACTTTTGAAAGATTACACAAGCTGTTTTTCATCTGCTTTTGAAAGATGGTAAAGCGTACAAATAAACGTGCAAGGAAGGACTGTCTCCATTTTGGCCTCACTTAACTCTAAACCAAAACTATTGTTTCAAAGCTTCTGATTTTAAACATAATATATCCGGTACATCCAGAAATTTGAAATTGTATCTAGCCCCCCCCCCCCAGCCAATATGCTGCTGAATTCCTGGACACGCCGCTCTAATTGAGCAATGACATTAGATTTGCTTATTTATTCACTCTCTTGTCTTAACGGGGAGCTCAGTGACTCAGTGAGGTCTCGGGTTCGAAGCCGGCGTGGTTTCCCCTTGCTGACTCAGTGAGGTCTCGGGTTCGATGCTGGAGTTGGATGGCGTGGTTTCCCCTTGGCGAATGCTCGTCTTCATCAGCCAGGTTGGGGAAGATAAGTAGGACTTATAGATCTGTTAAAATGACCCTGGTATTAGTGCATATATACTAACCCATTGCCTTCAGCCATATAGAACGATAACCTAATCGTGAAAAGTGAATGTTTGGAATGCAGCATTGTAAAATGTTATCAGTGTGGTAGAATAGAACCCATGATCATCGATCTATTGAAATATGTAACATGTTCGAATATAGCCATCGATCTATTGAAATATGTAACATGTTCGAATATAGCCTAACATGTTCGAATATAGCCATCGATCTATTGAAATATGTAACATGTTCGAATATAGCCATCGATCTATTGAAATATGTAACATGTTCGAATATAGCCATCGATCTATTGAAATATGTAACATGTTCGAATATAGCCATCGATCTATTGAAATAAGTATGTTCGAATATAACCATCGATCTATTGAAATAAGTATGTTCTATTTCAACCTGCTTAATCAATCTGTAGAAACAAGTAATATGAGTAATCGATCTGTAAAAACTATGATCGAATTATTGAGATAAAATTGAACTATGTGTTAGTCCCGAAATGACCTAGTTTGTGTCGAGTAGACGTTAAACCCCATTTCTCTCTCTCTCTCTCTCTCTCCAAAAGAGTATGGTCGTAAATAACCAGATTATTCGATCTATATGCTGCAAATCGACCCTAGCATGTTCCACACGCCCAATATTACTTGGCGGCACTGGGAGCCCCCCCCCCTTCCCTCGCACACACATATGAATATTGTTTTTTGGGAGCCCAGACGGGGTCTTATTCCGCATGCAAAATCATGGTTCACCGCGCCCCTGGCCAGGAATGGCAGTAATGTGACCTTAATGATTCGTTAACTGACTGGAAGTGATACCGAATGAACGACCCAACAAATATATTGATTTTTGTTACACAATAACGCGAAAAGAAATGCTATAAATTATAGAATAAGAAATTCTTGTCCTGAACATCGAGATCGTTTATTATGGATTTTGTCGGTTGTGGTTTCCCATTTAATTATATCTGCTATTGAATAAAATACCGAACAAAATAGTCAATTATTCTTCATAAGAAAGAGCATTTTTGTCGGTATTTCTCGCCTATTATCGACTATCGCTGATCAATAAATATACCCGTATGTAGGACACTCGTAATCAGTATATTGATAAACCTGGATTCCCCGATTTGGGTCACGGCACAAGATAAAATAGGAAAAGCCGTAAGTCATATCTCTGTGTCCTATTTCATCTTATTGGTGTCGCATCCCATTTAATAGACCGATACACTTAAATTACTCATGCGTGATGAATGTATTGTAACAAGGACATCTTTTGCTCATTTATAACACTGAAATAGTGCATATCTTGAGTGGGACTCTGTTGGTGTTATAGGACGTCCGTAAATAAATGTAGCGTTGAGTTGACCGAATGCAGGGCTTCTTTCAATCAAAGGAATTCATTGTTGTTCATTCATTATTTATTAACGGTGTGTTCAAGGGATTATTTTTGTTCACAACTACGGGTATTATTAGTGTTTAATCGAAGTAAACAGACCGGTCTATTCAAGACTACAAAATGCAAGAGTACACCCAGTGACGTATATATATATATATATATATTTAGATAATTCGCACACGAGATTAAACGTGGTTGAGATTAGTGGTCGGAACAGGTACACAGTCGGTGGATTAACAGGTAAGTCAATATTTGATTTAACTTATATTTTGTTTATGGCAGCTGCTGTCTGGTAATTTAAATGCACGTTGTAATATAATGTATAGGCTACATACAAGCCGTTTGGTGAAAATCTACGAACTGTACTGAATGTAGTCAATAGTATAGTCAATGGATTTATGGCATTTACTACCTGGTTGTTTGTATCTAGTGTATAAAATATACGAAGATATGTGAGAATTTACGAATGGTACTGAATTTCGCCAGTTATATAAATATTATACCAGTAGGTCTGCGATATCACCCACGGTATGTGAGAATTTACGAATGGTACTGGCTGAACTGAATGTCGTCAGTTATATCAATATTATACCAATAGGTCTGCGATATCACCCAAGGTGAAAGCGGACGTTAAGCCTTAAAGAACGAACGAAAGACTAACCCGTATTGATTATAAAACGCTTGTATAATTCTACTGAATGGCACTGAATGCAGTCAATGGTATATATTATATATAGTAGATACTGAATGTTGCCAATAGTACATATTATATAGTAGGCCTGTATTATGACGAGTATTGATTATAAAACAGGCTTGTATAATGCTATATAATGCCAACACTGGTTATTTAATAGCCGACCCAGTAATTCACCTGTGATTGCATATATACCGCCTTATATAAATATTCACCGTACTTATTGGCCTTAAAGCTAAGTGTCTTATCCGAGGACTCCTTTGTCTTTATTGGTGATCTAGTATATCGAACCATAAATAAGGTAAACATGTGTTTGATCTATATACATAGAGGATATTTGTCGTTTTAGCGTGAATAACATCTTTTACGTTTAAAATGTGTCCTACTTTAACATATAGACCATACCGATAAGGTTACTTGTATAGGTAATGTTGTTTTTTTACTTCAATATGCTTACATTCATGTTTAATGTGGCATATACACATAGCAGATCATGACTCGTACTAATATTACACAATGTTTTTCTATGGGTTATATTCCTGATTTTTTGTCTTTCAATTTTGAGTAAAGTCTGTATCACTTCAGACTCGGGACTGTCAGCGCAGTGGACGCTTACGGTTAGCCTCTCGATTCATTCACTTTAATTTGATATGTACGTTTGTTTGTGATTTCTTCGTATATTAAACCCATTTTTTCTTTTTATTTCATTTCGAATCCTTTTAAATCTTTCACATACAAAAAGACTAAACCTTTTAAATCTTTCACATACAAAAAGACTAAATAAACGTTTTCGATTTTTATTAAATGGAGGAAATATAAATAAATCTCAAAATTCTCAAAGAACGACTAAAATCATCGTTTTAGGAATTAAAATGTCGGTCAACCAGCATTTCATTCAGTGCAATAAACAACAACACATACTTGTGAAAAACAGCTACTAATTTGATCTCGTTGTCATGTATGGTTTTGTGATTTGTTGTTATTGCTTGTCTATATATCTTTGTCTCATATTTTTTGTATAAATAGCATGATAACGTTTAGAGAATATTCCTAGAAACGTCGCCCAAATAAATTAGTATCTGTTTTCCGTAAGTATTTGTTATGGTTTAGATACAGTATAATTGGAATTCTATATCCGTATAAGCCTATAAGGCATGATCATTTAATTCTCTAAATCAGTATACGAGATTTTATTGGATCAATATGTCCATTAAAAGCAGCATACATGTTATCAACAATTACTGAAAATAACACAAAGAAATAAAAGGTATGATCATTGAATTCATATTGCTATGATAAATAAAAACTGATTTAATTCAATATTATTAACAAAAACTGAAACTAGCACGTATGATCATTTAATTCATATTACTATACTATATTATAAAATATCACAAAGAAATATAAGATATGATCATTTAATTCATAAACAAAAACTGAAAATAGCACAAATAAATAAGGTATGATCATTTTTAATTCATTTTACTATACTATATTATAAACAAAAACTGAAAATAGCACAAAGAAATATAAGCATTTAATTCAATATTATTAATAAAAACTGAAAATAGCACAAGGAAATGTAATGTATTTTTAAAATGTATTTTATTTATATTCAAATGCCTTCCATAAATCAAGGCAGCCATTAAAAGCAGCATAATAAAAAATAAAAATAGTACAGGGAAATATTTGATGTTGTAAAAGAGAAATACACAATATCGATTTCTGTATACGCACTATTATGTTTCTAATCCAGTCCTGTAATAAAATAATGACCTTGACTGATAGTTGTTTATAGATTCTTGGTCAAGCAAAATAACACCTTAAATAATAGAAATCTACATGAATTGAACTAAAGGTTAATAAACACATTTGTCATTTGTCATCTTCATGGTCAGGAATGGAATGTGTCTGTTGAGTGCAGTTAAAGGGGTATGCCTTTCCATATTTGTAAACTGGAACCGTAGACAGTCTATGACGTAAACCAATTAAGGTGTGAGCGTATGTGGCTTGGAGATAGCGGCGTCTTCTCAACCTCGTGGGTTTGCTCCGGGCACTTCGCTTTCCTCCAACAGGAAAGACCCCTAAGATAATAAATATGAAAATAAGACAACTTGTCTGCGATATCACCTTCGGTGGAAGCGGACGTTAGACACTAAGAACAACAACAAGTATTTGGCAGAACTCACACTGCCAGTCAGCGAGGAAGATTTGTGACTAACGCTAAAACTTTTTTTATATAAATAAAAAACAGAAAGAAACAAAACCCGAACTGTAGTTTACGTCACGGAAGTGAAGGCAACGCGAAGCTTAAAGATCGAATAGTACTACAGTCCTTGATAAAATTTTAATTCATTCGAAAAGAATTCGAAATTTATTATGCAATGGAATGGGTGCGCCTGATACCAGAGTACAGTATATTGAAATTCATCATGTGTAAATTGTGGTTATACTTCCTTGTCTGTCAAACACACGCACCTGTATTGTGTAAATACATGACATACCTTGCAAAACTATTTAAAGATGCGTTATGTAAAAGCTAAATCTGCCTATTGTAGATCTTTAATTCGACTTCAAATGTTATATAAATTATTATTTAGACATGCTTTTCACTTTATCTATGATAAACCTTCTAGATCCTCTGATGGCCGGGATTTTTATGGATTTGAACTCCCACGAGATTTAAAAATTTAACGATGGAATGGATAATCGAGGCTAAATCGTGGTTGTCAAGTACCGTTCGTTGCTACGATAATAAACGATCTACGGTCCATCGTCAAAAATTTCAATATATTCATTACCTATTTGGGAACTATTATAGCAAAATTTTTCATCATATTCTGTTTACAAATCGATAGTATGGCCGATTGAATCCAAATTGATAAATTATTTTTAAGATACAAATAATGAAATAAATTTATGTATGTAAAAATATTCAATTAGATATAATTTTCTAGAAGCATAATCCGTTAATCTGACCTCTTAAATCCAAATTGATGGTTTGTTTTTTTTAAAACACAAATAACTACCTAGATTTATGTAACGTCACAACCGTTTAAATAATATTTAATTCAATTAGATTTTATTTTCTATAAGCCTAATCCGTTAATCTGACCTGTTATATTGAAATTGATGGTTTGAATAATAGTTAATTCAATTAGATCTAATTTTCTATATGCATAATCCGTTAATCCGACCCCTTAAATCCAAATCTAAAAAATACTAAAGCAATTTTCTGAGATATCACAATCTGTGAAATACTAGTTAATTCAATAACATTAATCCGTTAATCTAACCACAATGAAAGGGAATGGGGTTTAACGTCACCTTAATCCTAACACTTAAAACGTAATCGATAATAAAATGACACGCTTTGTTTTATCAATTCGAATAATAATTAATTGAATTTCACCTTAGATCTTTTTTTCTATAAGCTTAATCCATTAATCTAACCACAATAAAATGGAATGGGGTTTAACGTCCTATACTGCACGTCACCTTAACTCTAACACCTAAATCACGACGTAATCGATAATAAAATGACACGCTTTGTTTAATCAATTCGAATAATAATTAATTGAATTTAACGTCCTTTATCACCCCCCAAAAATTTCATAATCTACTGCGATATCTCTTTAGGAGATATCGCTTTAAATGAATTTAATTGGTCAGTTGGAAAGGAACTACTTTTTTTGTTATTTTCAAACAACAGTTAATATTTTTATTAAAAGTAACTTCTTTTTTTTAAAATTAAAAATGAACTATTTTTATTTAACTGACCTTAATGGAAACACTGGGTCAATATAAAGGACTTTGCAATGATTGAATTGCTGTCAAAAAATGATGTATCACTACGCTGTAATGTAATCAGGTTCAATAAAAGAGAAATCTATAGCAAAGAATTATATTTATTTATTTGTGCATGTAAGAAAGGATTGGGTGATAAATAAAATCTCCTACTCGTCATTACATTTTTTGATATCAAAAAGTATCAACACTCGTCGATAAAGTATCGACTTGTGGTGATATTTTTTCATATCAAAAAAGACTCGTAGGGGATTATCATGTTCTTCGCCATAACCATAATTTGACTACTTAAATCAAGGAGTAATTTAGAATAAAATAGCAATTAGATATTTGATAGAAACCAAGCCTACCTGCTAATTTTGTATAATGAGCTGTATGCTATAAATAAACTAATTAGTTGGTTAATTAGCTGCCATTAATTACAGGACCGGATTAAGCTTGTATGGGACCCCGGTCTGAAAATGTCACTGGGGTCCTTATACAAGTGCATAGATAAAACAAAAGGGGCGACTTCTCAACCTCGTGGTTTTACTCCGGGTACTCCGGTTTCCTCCCACAGGAAAGACCTCTGCACGTGCGCTAATATAATAAAAATGAAATAATAAGACTTGTCTGCGATATCACCTTCGGTGGAAGCTGGGGTTAAATAAAACTATTTCACACACACGAAAGTCTGTAAACGGTCCGATTTCCATTGTATTCCCTTAATGTTAACCAAGACTGGTAAAGCTCTACCGTA